GTCCAGCGAATTCAATTTGAGAAACAGCAGAACTTTCTTTAATCTCACATCTTGCTTGGAGATAAAAAAAAAGTAATGGTAAGGTCTGGTGGCATCGTAAAAAATGCTACAGCAATCGATTTATTCTTCAATATTTTCTATTTTTCTGTTAGAAAACAAATATATATTAACTAGTGATTTATGTGGATTGTACCAGCTAATACATATCGTATTAATTTAACATAATATATCTTGACCATTCTGTTTTTGTAAATAAGCACAATAAATTACTTGGTGTAAGTCGCATTTTTGCCTTAACTTGCAAGATGTATCTCCTAAAGTCGCATATCATTATACCAAACTTCGATGGATTTTATAATTAATCCACTTGTTGTCGATGAACTTTCTTCAAAATTCAAAAACTGTTTGAAAGATGTTTGAATTTTTAGTAAAAGCAAAAACTTTATTTTCGAAATAAACAGTTGAAATTTTTATCTAAATAGCTTTATCTCAATTCTAATTGATTAAGTAAATTATTTACACGCATGGGAAGTATTTGCTTCTGATTTATCTAGTGTTGCAAATTTAGAATATTTCTTTAACAGTAGAAGCTCCTTATTCTGGTTTCTTATATGGGATACGTTCAAAGGCGACAAAATCAAGAAAAATGAATATACAAAAAATAATTTATAATTGTAGTTTTTGGACATTTTGATTATGTTTAGGCGAAGGCAAAGGTTTGAAGAACTTTGTAATAAAGGAAGCTTGGATAAGGAACATCTAATGTATATTTTTGATCCTCGAATTTTTTTTTAAATAAAAATTGTATACTTTAGTGAAGAAGTTAAATATATATATACATACATATATATATACACATACACATATATATATATATATATATATATATACATATAATAGTTTTGTCGTCTAAAGGAGTTTAAAAGTTTTTGTCTAATGGTTGAAATAACTTACTTAATGTTGAGGGAAGTTAATAAATATTTTGTTTTAAATTTCGTATACAATTTAGTATACGAAATTTAAAACAAAATATTTATTAACTTCCCGTAGGGTAAGTTATTGTAATCGTGCAAAAATCTAAATTGAAAATTTTTGCATTTCTCGACGTTTTGAAAGTTTCTGAACATTTTGGCATACCTAAGAAAAAATGCATGAATGTGTGTGTGTGTTTTGTGTGTCCGCATTTTTTCATTCACGTTTTCGGGCGCACGGATCAATCGATTTGAATGGTTCAAAAAACATTCGATTCCTACTGATAGGGAAATGTGCTGATTAGTTTTTGGCAAAGCCAAGTCCAGCCGTTACGGAGATAAAGAGCAAAGAGTGCTGAAAACCGAAACTGATTTTTTGATAGAACGAAGCATCCAATTTGAATGATCTAAAAAACATTCAATTAGTAATGATTGGGAGAAGTGGTTATTAGATTTTGGCAAAGACAGGTCCAGCCATTTCGAAGATACAGAGCTAAATGTGCAAAAAATAGCAGTTTTTGAGAGAACTAAGCGTCCGATTTAAATGATTCAAAGAACTTTCTGCTTGTTTTAACAAAATAATTGATTTTGGAAAAAAAAATTTTGTTCAAAAATTTTTTTTTTCAATTTTTTTTTTCAAATTTTTTTTTGTATATCGAAAATAATTCAGATTTTATTTCTAATTCTGACTAAAGTTCTAATATGCTTTAAACAAATAATTTCAACTTTGCAATTCAGTTTATATAATTCTTATAAATATTAGACAATGTTACAAAATTTATAATAATCTATTTGAAAACATTCAATATTCCTCGAACATTTCTTTACGGTACGGGAAGTTCCGGCAATTTGCCTTAAGGCATGATGTCATACACTCCACTAGTTTTTTAATTAAATAAGGAATATTCAAAGAAAAAAATTATTTAATTATGCATAATAATTAACTACCTGTAGGGTAAGTTACAGTAATGAGCCAAAAATCGTAAATGAAAATGTTTGCATATCTTTACGTTTTAGTGGTTTCTGGACATTTTGACATACCTCAGAAAAAATGGATGTGTATGTATATGTGTGGAGACAATTTTTCGTCAACGATTTCGGGCATATGGATGAACCGATTTGAAAAATTCAAAAAGCACGCTTTCGACTTTAATATTTTTTTATTTATATTTAATTTGTTATTTATAGTTTGTCTTCATTATTTGTTCTCATGGATTTTCGTTATCATGTCTCAAGAAACACGAGTTATTATTTCGGTTTAAAAGAAGAATTAGCAAAATATTAAAAATGTTTTTTTTTTATTATATATATTATAACATCAGTACAAAATTTGCTTTAAAATATGCTCATATTATTTTATCGCGAGCAGCAAAAGTGACATCTGTTGGAAGAAAGGTGGCGCGTTGAATCATGAAGACTCAATAAAACTTTGACGCCGCTTGCTCTTCTTTGCGATGGCCCACATCTTCTTACCAGGAGTCCCGAATTTGCGGCCCGTGGTCCCTGTGCGTCTATAATAATGGTCAATAGAAAATAGTAACTGCAGACTTACTTTTTTGCTTACAGCAAGTTGCATTTACGAAAATAAAAAATATATAGTTGTAAAACCTTCCAGTTTCGTTTTCTGTTTCTAATACGAAATGAACAATTTCTATTTTCTTGCAATGACGTAATTTTTAATATTACTATTTAAATATAACATTTTTCGGTTTTGACCAAATCGGTATTGGTGACGATTTAGGTATGATGTTCAATACCCAATTGCATATAGTTATCTGTAATCTGACACCACTTTTCTTAATTCTTAAACATCAGCATTTAGATTTGCATTGGTATTGGTACTTATCCGTTTTCTGTAATTGTCCAAAAATCGAAATTGAAAATTTTCACATTTCTTTACGTTTTGAAGGTTTCTGAACATTTTGGCACACCTCAGAAAAAATGGATGTGTGTGTGTGTGTATGTATGTATGTATGTATGTCTGGATACAATTTTTCGTCCACGTTTTCGGGCGGATCAACCGATTTGAATGGTTCAAAAAACATTCGATTTCTATTGATGATTAGTGCTGATTAGTTTTTGGCAAAGGCAGGTCCAGCCGTTACGGAGATACGGAGCAAAGAGTGCAGAAAATACAAATCGAGTTTTTGAGAGAATGGAGTATCCGATTTGAATAATCTAAAAACCATTCAATTTGTAATGATTGGGAGAACAGGTGATTATTTCGAAGTCATTTCGAAGATACAGGGCTAAATATGCAAAAAATTGCAGTTTTTGAGAGAACTAAGCGTCCGATTTGAATGATTCAAAGCACTTTCTGCTTGTTTTAATAAAATAATTGCTTTTGGGAAAAAATGGTTACAATTTTTTTTTCAAAATAATTTTTTTTTTGTATATCGAAAATAATTTTAATTTTTTTTATAAATTATTTCAACTTTGCAATTCAGTTCATGTAATTCTTTTAAGTATTAGACAATGTTACAATATTTATAAAAATCTATTTGAAAACATTTAGAAATCATTAGATGGAAATGCGAACGTTTCATTATATCGTTATTAGTCTACCTCTACATCAACTTGACTATTTGGCCCTGTTTTGACTTCGTGTTTGGCACCGCTGTCCCACACTAAAAATCGATATGACTATACACGGCTAGACATGAGTCATAAGCTTAGGGGTGCACGAACCCACGGACATTGTAGGGAATGGGGGTTGTTTAAACGGGCGGGGAAGTCCTGTGAGAGAGCTTTCGCATTAGACATCAAAACACGGGAACTCTGGTAATGTTCGGTTCCAATGAAATATTTAAGGATATTTACCTTGGAACAAGATAGGGCAGAAATAGTATATTTAATCAAAACAAATCATCATATATCTTTTTGAAAAAATATCCCAGGGCCGAACTCTGTTACATGGAATAAATATACTAAAGGTTTCCTACAAATATTTTACAGATTGAGCAAATTCATTAACTCAACAGTTAATGAAAAATCATGAAATTAAATTTCCCGCTTTTTTAAGAGAAAACGCTTTTTATTAATAATATTAATGACTTGTTTTTTATTTATTCTGAAATCAATACACTACATGGTATATGATATGCTATAACTAATTTCGGCTAATAAATATCTTATACTTTGCTTAGTTATTATTATGCTTAACACATTATAAGTGAGCACGTAAAAATACTCGCCAGGTCAAACTGAATGTGTAGCTGGCAAAATTTGCGAGTAAAACGCGCCCTCTAGCTTTTACGTCGCCTTGTATCATAAACACAACTTACCATATCGTTAAATACATATTTTTCAAATTTTTCAACAAGAAAGTTGTATCGAAATATAGCAGTGCATTCTTAATGCTATCACTGTATGAAATCGCATAAAAAGAAGGCATTTTAAGTGGCACTATTTGTTTTTAGGGATTCACAGAAGCTCTTATGACACCTAAATAATTCGATTTTTTTGAACATCAGAGATCTACTTTTTCGTATTTTTTGTTATTTGTTTGATGACCTGTACGAGTGTCGCCTAAAAACGACATACAGTGTGTCGACATTTGATTCAAGATTTAATACTTTAAGTCACATTATTAAAAATTCTAATTTATTGTTTTTTGTTCCTTGAAAGTGTTATTTTTATTTTTCAAATACATTTTAATTAAACATGGTTGGAAAATCTTAAAATATTTTGTTTAACAAATATTTGGGCGGCTTGTTGGCTCATATGTTTACAGTTGTCACTCTTGCGGAAAACAGCGCGATGGCTGAAGTGTTGAATCATTTGTTTAATATATATATTTGGTGATATTAATTGCTATTGTTTACCTTTTTTATATACATCTTCGAACAAAAAATTTTGACTGAACATTTTGATGCGTGGCTCTTAAACAATTATTTCTTTATAAGAGAAATGCACTACTTGGTTTTGTTCGATCTTATTATCCGAGCTTTTATTTAAAATTCACTCAACGTATTTTTTTTATTTTGTGACTGACAATTGAACTAATCAATGATATTTGATTTTAGGCCTGCGAGGAGTACTGCTAGAATGCGAGAACTTGCGGGCCTTTGCCCGACGCGTCTGTCAATTCTGCTGACTCTATTGCTGCTCCTCAAATGTTGCTCCTGCTATTTGATCATCGTACATGAAAACGCTCCAGCCGGTGAAATAATTTTCAACGCATCTGTTCACAGGCTCGGTTCCGATCGCGCCTACTCAATCAATGCACATAAATCGGCTAGTTATGTTCATCGTATCATTCACGTAAACCATGACACAGGATCAGTTCATCTGAAGAAACAATTGTCTTGTGATGGCTTATATTATCCTAGTTTATTTACGTTCTACGTCGACTCGGTATCAAGTCGTGTGCGAAATATTGATTACTATAGTTTACCGTTACGGATTTTAATAACTGGTGCTGATTGTAGCGATGGTTATTTTGATCTGAGTAGTCGTCTATCATTCGATGAACCTGATCAAGAAATCCGTAACAAAAGAGAAACACGCGGCCATATGAGTCCACAGAATACTGGATTGGAGACTGCCCACCAGTACTTGCTTCATAGCATTCAACGGCAGAAAATACTTCGTATGAAACGATCGATTCGTTTTCTAACTGCTTCGAAAATTCAGAAACGAGTTGAAGATGCGAAAAGATGGGTATCGGAGACTTACGCCTCGTTTGCTATTCCAACAACTGATAAGCCATGGCAAAGCATTTGTTTACGAAAATCGCAATTTATTAACTCATTAGCTAGCTTTATGCCTAAATCGGTTGAGCAATATTGCAAAGTAACGTTTATAGATTTAAATGATGATAGATTTGCGGTCGAAACTCAAAATTTTCATCTAGTCGCACGCGATGATGTTTGCATATATGAATCTTTATGGAAGATAGTAATTTTATTTAAATTAAATTGTGAAGGGATCGATGTAATTGATACAGAACATAGGCTAAAAATAGTTTATCATCATCAGGAATTCAACGATACTGATATAGCTAAACGTGTTAGACGTGAACTCAGAAATCAGTCTCCATTTTTCGAGCAGGCATTATATGTCGCGTCTATTATGGAAGAACAAATACCACCTGCGGCAGTAACAACTCTAAGAGCGAGGGATCCTGAAGGCTCTACTATAGAATACACAATGACGTCTTTGCTGGATTCCAGATCACAAGGAATGTTTCAGATAGATGCGCATTCAGGGTCCGTCGTTACAATGGTCCGCTTGGATAGGGAACTAGTTGATGTGCATTATTTTCGTATTTTAGCAACAGATGACAGTTTTCCACCAAGATCGGGAACTACAACTCTGCAGATTAATGTTTTAGATTGTAATGATTACGCGCCCACGTTCGAAAGCTCAGAGTTTCACGCAAGTGTACGAGAAAGTGCATCAGCTGGATCAACCGTAGTAACTTTACGCGCTACTGATCAAGACGTCGGTAAAAACGCGGAAATAGAGTATGCAATAGAAAATATTTCGGGTGAAAAAGATTCGACGGATCTCATTAACCAGCCATTCAGAATAGATGCGCAAACTGGTGTTTTGACTGTTCGTAGTCAATTAGATCGTGAACGCGTAGAATCTTATTCTGTTATTGTGACTGCTAAGGATTTAGCTCATCCAACGAGCGCACGTAAAACAAGTACAGCAACAGTTGTTGTAAATGTACTGGATGATAATGATAATTATCCTCAATTTGGCGAACGTACATATTCTGTGCATATCAAAGAAGATAGCGGTAATGATAATCCGGTCATAGCTCAAGTAGTTGCAACCGACGCAGATGCTGGTGTAAATGCTTTCATTCGTTATGCTATTATTGGAGGAAACACTATGTCGCAGTTTTCAATTGACAGTATGACTGGCCAGGTTAGTTTAGTGAAACCTTTGGACTACGAAACTACAAGAAGTTACAGATTAGTGGTAAGAGCGCAAGACGGGGGAAGTCCATCACGATCAAACACAACTCAACTATTGATAAATGTAGTTGACGTGAATGATAACAGTCCCAGATTTTATGCGCAGTTATTTCAAGAATCTGTTCTTGAATCAGTTCCGCCCGGTTATAACATTGTACGTGTTCAGGCGTATGATGCCGATGAAGGTGATAATGCCGAAATTACCTATTCTATCATTGATGCTACTAGTTCAACTGGTCTCAGCTTTGAAGACGGCCAATCAGAGGAAGTAGTAAGTACTACTGATTTTCCTTTATCTGTTGATTCCCGAACTGGTTGGGTACATACCACAACAACTTTGGATCGAGAAAAACAATCAAAATATCAATTTCAAGTTATGGCTAAAGACCATGGAAACCCGTCACGTTCCGCTTCTGCTTCCGTATTGATTACTGTGCAGGATGTAAACGATAATGATCCAGCATTCAATCCCAAACATTACGAGGTGTCACTAGCTGAGGACGAAGTGCCGGGAACTCCAGTAGTTCAGGTAATAGCTACAGACCCAGATGAGGACTCTAGGTTGCACTACGAAATATCTGGCGGAAACACACGTGGGAGATTTGCAATCACTTCTCAGAACGGGTACGGACTCATCACTGTCGCGCAAAATTTAGACTATAAACAAGAACGAAGGTTTATTTTAACTGTATCAGCTACTGATTCTGGAGGTAGAGTAGATACTGCAACAGTTTATGTAAATATTACTGATGCTAATAATTTTGCGCCGGTTTTTGAAAATGCTCCATATAGCGCATCAGTTTTTGAAGATGCTCCATTAGGAACTACTGTATTAGTTGTGTCTGCGAGCGACGGAGATGTAGGTCTTAACGCAGAGTTAACGTATACATTATCCGAAGATGCAAGTGGTCCTCAACCATTTAGAGTAATCGAACAAACTGGTGCAATCGTCACAAACAACTTATTAGACCGTGAAACTGCTAGCAGTTACTTATTAACCGTCACAGCACAGGATGGTGGCACTCCTTCTTTGTCCGATACTACTGATATTGAAATCACTGTGTCGGATGTAAATGATAACAAACCGATGTTTACTGCACCTATGTATCTTTCTTCCATACCAGAAAATGCTCTCATTGGAACATCTGTGATTCAAGTCTCAGCTACGGATGTTGATATCGGAATGAATGGCCGTATTCGATATTCGTTGGTTGAAAAAGATATCGAAGATGCTTCATTCGTTATTGATCCATCTTCTGGAGTAATACGCACTAATAAGGGTTTGGATCGAGAATCTGTTGCTATATACCACTTACAGGCGGTTGCAAAAGATTTGGGCACTCCATCACTAAGTTCTACAGCCGAAGTTCAAATTAGAATTGAAGATGTTAATGATAATCCTCCAACGTTCGCCAGTAACAGAATCACATTATATATTCCTGAAAACAGTCCTGTGGGCTCGCTTGTTGGAGTTCTTCATGCGCAAGATCCAGATGAAGGAATTAACGCAATTATACACTACTCAATTATTGGTGGGGAAGACAGCAACAGCTTCAGTCTTATGACACGCCCGGGATCTGATCTTGCGGAACTGCTAACTATGGTAGATATGGACTACGAATCACCTAAAAAGAAATTTGAATTAGTAGTACGTGCAGCTAGTCCTCCTTTGAGAAATGATGTCCATGTGGATGTTATTGTAACAGATGTGAATGATAACGCGCCTGTTTTGAAGAATTTTCAAATATTTGTTAATAATTACAAGGATCATTTTCCATCTGGGGCAATTGGCAGAATACCAGCATTTGATGCTGATGTGACAGATAAACTTGATTACAAAATATTGTCTGGAAACAATGCTCGGTTGTTGTATTTGAATCAGTCTACTGGTGAGCTAACATTATCACCTCAACTGAATACCAATGTGCCAAGACAAGCATCTATGAAAGTTGCAGTATCAGATGGAGTTAATGATGTACAAGCTGTAATGACAATGACTGTGCGCTTAGTAACTGAGGATATGCTACTTAATTCGGTAACTGTGCGTTTAAATGATATGACTAGTGAAGCATTTTTATCACCTTTGATGAATTATTTCATTGATGGCCTTGCGGCAATTATACCTTGTTCAAAGGAACATATATTTCTGTTGAGTGTTCAGGACGATACTGACGTCAATTCTCGAGTTTTAAACGTATCATTTTCAGCCGGTCGTTTTGACACTCCCTCTATGTCGTTTTACAAACCACAATACTTGCAGGAGAGGGTGTACTTGCACAGGTTGCTACTACAAAGTATTTCTACTGTTCAAGTGCTACCGTTTGATGACGATTTATGCGTTCATGAACCCTGCTTGAATTTCGAGCAGTGTGTTACGGTTCTAAGATTTGGCAATGCGAGTGGTTTTATTCACAGTGATACAGTTTTGTTTAGATCAATTTATCCAGTTACCACATTTGCTTGTAAATGTCCTGAAGGATATACAGGGAGCAGAGAGCATTACCTATGCGATACCGAAGTTAATTTATGTTATTCGAATCCATGTAAAAATGGTGGTGTATGTATGCGGAGAGAAGGTGGCTACACTTGCATTTGTGAAATGCCATTCACAGGTGTAAATTGTGAAACAGTTCTTAGTAACTGCACCGGAAATAATTGTATGACGCAGCGAAATTGTCTAATGGAGCGCGACCTGGATAGTATGTGTGAAAAATGCCCAAGAACTAAAAGTAAAGAACGGGTAACTCTGATAACTCCGGCAGCTTATACCATGGAACGTAAATCTCAGATTGATCCTCATAACGAATTCAATCACATGTGCGAATTACGATCCCGAAGTTTTGTCCGCGGTTCTTACCTAACTTTTCCAAGTTTACATCAAAGAAATAGATTTCATATAAAATTACGGTTCGCTACATTGGAGCAAAATTCCTTACTTTTATACAACGGCAGATACAATAATGAGAACGACTTTGTAGCGCTTGAAATCGTAGACGGTGCAGTACAATTTTCGTTTTCATTAGGCGAAGGCACTGCTACAGTTTACACAAATGTACCAGGAGGAGTTGCTGATGGCTTGTGGCATAGTGTTGTAGTTGAATATTTTAACAGAACAGCAATATTATCAGTAGACGACTGTGATTCTACATTGGCACTATCTCCTGAAATGGAAAATAGAGGCATAGATTTGATGTGCGCTAATTCGACATACCTCGAGCTACCAAGCAAATGTGTAATATTAACTGAAAACTGCCATAGATATTTAGATTTGACAGGACCTTTACAAATTGGTGGATTACCTAATGTTCCTAATTCATTGCAAGTAAACTCTAGAGATTTTGTAGGTTGCATTGGCGATCTTCACATAGATCATCGTTTTATTGATTTAAATAACTTTGTAGCCGATAATGCCACAATATTGGGCTGTCCAGAGTTATCAAATTTTTGTTCATCTGATCCCTGCTATAATGGTGGTACATGCATTGAAAAATGGGGATCTCATCATTGCTTGTGTGCAGAGGGTTTCACTGGCAAAGATTGCAATGAAATTACCACACCACCATGGCGTTTTCAAGGTGATGGCTTACTTTCATTCAATCCTCTTTTGAGGCCTATTCAGCTGCCTTGGTTGAATGCATTATCTATTCGAACAAGGCAATCAAATGCATTTCTGATGTCAATCCAATTGGGTCAAACAAGCAAGGCTATAGTATCGGTGAGTTTAGCAAAATATTTAATATCATTTGTTCATGTTATTATTATAAATTATATTTTTACATTATCAGCTGAATGATGGGTTTTTGCAATATACTTATAACAATGATCCAGTTTATTTGTCAAGTGTCAATTTATCGGACGGTCAATGGCACCGAATTGAAATACAGTGGCTTGGCACAGAATTAGCTTTTTCATTAGATTATAATCACAGAATGGCTATATTACCTGTAACACACAAGATTCAAGGATTGTATATTGGAAAAATTGTACTTGGTATGGATTCTGGAGTTTTCGGCAATTTTGATTATGGTTATTTTGTTGGGTGCATTCAGGTAAACAACTTATAAATAATTATAAACGTTATAAATGTTAATAATTTCAAATTAATTCCTCAATTCAATGTAATTTTAGGATGTTAGAGTAGGAAACTTGCAATCAGTACTTAATCGACCAACTGTGCAGGAGAATGTTCAGGAAGGTTGCGGAACGCAAGCTGAATGTCCTATTAGTTGTCCAGAAAATTCCGAATGTAACATGGAGTGGGATGAAGTATGTTATATGCATTTTGTGAACTTATTGTACCTTTTATTAATAATCTATTTTATTATACTTTTAGGCTGAATGTGTTTGTGAAAAAGGCTATATTGGCAAAGAATGTATTTCGAAGTGTGATGTTAATCCCTGTCAAAATAGTGCAACATGTCATATGGATTACACATTAGACAAGGCATATTATTGCAGTTGTAACAGCTCTTTGTATTCAGGTATTGCAAAAGAATTGGAATTTTTATTAGAATAGTCTGGTTCTATATGCGATTTTTTCCATTTGCAAATTATTTCGAAATATACAAAATTGTATTTTTTGAGAATTTACATGATTTGACTGTTACACTTGATATATATTTGCATGAGAAACTTAACAGACTTAAAATATATGAGCCTTGAATTTTTACATCATAACTTTTTTCCACTCAGTTAAGTGTTTCGTTTGATACATATCGGTTCGTTAATAACAATCGGATTCTAATAAAAAGCGAGCATTAGTTCTTGATACTGATGATCTTTGTAATTTTTCAATTTGTTATTTACAACCTCACAGGTGAATATTGCGAAATAGTACTAGAGCAACCTTGTCCGGCAGGCTGGTGGGGTGTAGGAGAATGTGGACCATGCAATTGTGATGTGGATAAGGGTTATAATCCTGATTGTCATAAAACAACAGGAGAATGCTCTTGTAACGTAAGTTTATAATTGGATCTGACATAAGAATTTCTAATTTATTTACTAATTTACTTTATACAAAATATCAGGAAAACCATTATCAGCCAGAAGGTCAGAATGCTTGTTTTCCATGCAATTGCTATAGCACGGGTTCTTTCAGTTCGACATGCGACAAAATTAGCGGACAATGTTCTTGTAGAGAAGGCGTCATCGGTCGACGATGTGACACTTGTCCCAATCCTTATGCGGAAATTACTTTAAAAGGATGCGAAGGTAAATAATGTTTTGTTGAACTAAATTTTACAAAACAATCTTTTGCTTTTATTTTAATTTCAGCAGATATATTGATGGACCGAACTTATTTTAAAATTATATAGTGTTAGATAAAAAGACCATGAAAACTTTAAGAAAAAATAATTTAATAATAATAAATAAAACTTTAATTTGAATTCTATATTTTTCATTTAGCCTGAAATTTTATAAACTAATTTTGAACTAATATCTCTGAGAACTAAAAATGCGTTTTTATAAAAACACAATCATCTTCATTTTGTTGTCCATTTTGATGCCTATCTTTAGGAAAATGTTGAACACTGAAATATTCCAATTTTTGATAATTCGAAAAAATAGATTTATAAATAGATTTTAATATTTTAATTTCAAATTAAATATGACGTATATAGTCTAGGATAGTATAATTTAGTTATGACCATGATATTGTATTAAGTGAAGTTGATAGATATATAAAATGACTACTGACTTTACAAATGATATATATTAACATTTTCCACTCGCAAAATGCGAGATTTATATGAATTTTGCTGCCGGAGTGGCGGCATTCGAGTCGAAACGGTTAAACTAGTGCTGTATGGCATCGTGCCTTAAGGCAAATTGCTGGAACTTCCCGTACCGTAATGAAATGTTCGAGGAATTAAACTGTTTTCAAATAAATAATTATAAATACTGTAATATTGTCTAATATTTATAAGAGTTATATAAACTGAATCACAAAGTTAAAATGATTTATTAATTGATTTTTTTTTCCAAAAGCGATTATTTTGTCAAAACAAGCATAGTTTTTTGCATCATTCAAATCGGGATGCTTAGTTTTTTCAAAAAATGCCATTTTTGCACATTTAGCTACGTTTCTCTGAAACGGCTGGACCTGCCTTTGCTAAAATAAATCACCACTTTCCCCCGTCATTACGAATTGAATCATTCAAATCGGATGTTCCGTTCTCTCAAAAACTCGATTCCTATTTTCTGCACTTTTTGCTCCGTATCTCGAAACGGCTGGACCTGCCTTTGCCAAGAACTAATCAGCACATCTCCCTATCAATAGGAATCGATTTTTTATTCAAATCGGTTGATCCGTGTGCCTGAAAACGTGGACGAAAAATTGTATCCATACCTACATACACACATCTGTTTTTTTGCGGTATGCCAAAATGTTCAGAAACCTTCAAAACGTGAAGAACTGTTAAAATTTTCAATTTTGATTTTTGGACGATTACAATAACTTACAATTAGTCTACGGGAAGTTAATTAACAGCTGGTTATGTTTAATTTTGTAGTGGTGTACGATTCATGTCCACGTGCGCAGGATGCAGAACTTTGGTGGCCTCGTACTAGTTTTGGCAGCGAAGCAATCATCAGTTGCCCTGCACCGGCTAGCGGACGCGCATCGCGTCTTTGTGATTCCACTCTGGGCGGATGGCAGCAACCGGATCTTTTTAATTGTACCTCTAAACCGTTTATTGAACTTAGGAAACAGGTATTGTGATTTTAAAGTTTTTGTACATCTTATAATATAATGCATAATCTTAGATGTTTATTTAAAAAAACTGCAGACCCGGCATATGCCCGTCATCTTACATGATTAGATGCGATTTTACAAGATTATTTGACAGGGGTTGGTTATCTCGATAATATTGTATTTATACTGAGACAATGTGTTTTCATAATAATTATATTGTGCCAATTAATCACCATAGTATCTGGGCTATGTTTATTAATTAACATATAATTGTTAATATTAATCAATTGAATTCAAGGGATATTTTCAATTAAATATACAGTAGAACTCCATTACCCGAACTCCAATCATCCGAACTCCAATTATCTGAACTCCGACTATTCGAATCGCCG